ATGTAAGGGTTGGCTGACTGTGGAAAAAAGGAAGTAGTGGGGGATGGAGCGATGGCACAGCAGGTAGGGTGTTTGCCTTGCAGATGGTCAACTCATTCTATCCCCCACACCACATATGATTGTCCAAGCCTTCCAGGAATAATCCCTAAGCACAGACCCAGGAGTTAGCCCCAAGTACAGTCAGGTGTTGCCCAAAAGCAAAGAAAAAAAAAACATATTCAGGGCATTGGGATGAGCACAGCATTTTTAAAAATCTCTATGCTCAGGGTTGACTCTTGGCAGCACTCAGGGGACCCTATGGGATGCTGGGGATTGAACGCAGGTTAACTGTGTCCAAGGCAAGAGTGTGACCTGCTATAGTATTACCCCAATCCCTAAGATATTTGTTTCAAAAAAAAATTTTTTTTTCTAAACTGGTAAATGACTATTTCTTTGAACTGGTAAATGACTAACACAGAATGATTCAAACCTGGCTGATTTTAGGGCTGCTGTTGCTTTTGTTGTTTTTTTTTTATTCTTTTTGGGTCACACCCAGCAATTCACAGGGGTTACTCCTGGCTCTACATTCAGGAATTACTCCTGGCGGTGCTTGGGAGACCATATAGGATGCTGGGAATCCAACCCGGATCAGTCGCATGCAAGGCAAATGCCTTACCCGCTGTGCTATCGCTCCAGCCCCTGTTGTATGTGCTTAATGAGCTCATCTTTAAGGTCTCACACTGTGTAATATACTCAGTATTTTACAAAATCACCTTAAGTGTGTGACACTTCCCCAACCTCCAGCTGCTAAGCCTTTCCCCCTTTTCTGTCTTCCCCCCTTCTCTGCCTCCCTCGCTGTGACTTCTTATGGGGGTCCCCTTCTACCAAACACACCGGGGCTCCCCAGGGAAGAGGAGGAGACACTTACTCTCAAGGTATGAAACCCTCTAACCAACTGTAGACAGTCCACTTCCCACTCCCCAGTTCTCAGACTGAGCACTATGAACTTTTAGAATGACCGCTAGCATTCAGGGGTCCAGCCATAGCACAGCGGGCAGGGCAGGACACGTGTTTTGAATGCAGCCAATCCAAGTTCAATCCCTGGCACCCGCTGTGGTCCCTCGAGCCCAACAGAAGTGATCCCTGAGTGCAGAGCGAGGAGTAAACCCTGAGCACCACAGGGTGTGGCCTCAAACCCCAAAATAAATAAATAACTACTGTCACTGTCACTGCCCTATTGTTCATTGATTTGCTCAAGTGGGCCCAGTAACATTGTGAGACTTTTTACTGTGTTTGGCATACCGAATATGTCATGGGTAGCTCGCCAGGCTTTGCCGTGTGGGCGAGATACTCTTGGTAGCTTTCCAGGCTCTCTGAGAGGGGCGGAGCAATTGAACTCAGGTCGGTCATGTTGGCTGCATGCAAGGCAAACGCCCTACCCACTGTGCTATCGCTCCAGCCCAAATAACTACTATCATTCACAAAACTGTAAGCTCTAAAGTGATAAGGTCAATACAGAACCCAATTTTGAGTTGCTTAAGAGATGATTTTGTTAGACTAAATGAAATAAACTGGATTTTTAAATTTTTTATTGGTTTAAAATACTGCTCATCATGCTTTTCATGCATCCATTAGTCCAATACCACATCCATGTGCAGAGACTGTTTCCCTTCACCAGCATCCCAAGGACCCTCTTAATGCCTCTGCCTCCATATAAGCTCAATTACATAGACAAAATCTTCAGTTCTGATGCCTTTGAACATGAAATGGGTGTGTTTTAGATCAACCACAACTAAACATTGACAATTTCACATTGTCCAAATTGTTTTCAAGAATCCTTTCGTTCTGAGGTTTTCATCTTCTTCCCCAACTTTAGCCTCATCCTGTTCTTTCCCTCCACAGCCTCTTGGAATTTTCCCTCAAATCCCAATGTCTGCCCTGAAGCCCATTGGGTCCCTACTAAGTTCATCTTGCTCAAGCATCACCCATTCTACGAACTTTCCTCAAATACCTTCTCCCATCCAGGGACCCACACACTGCTGTTGGCATAATGGAAAGTGAAATCTGCCCTAGCCTTTTGAGAGCCCCTTTGTCTGGTAACACCAGGAAACTTGGAAAACAGATCCACTTGGTGATGGAAATGTGGTCAATAATATCATCAAGAGTCAAGGACCATCCGTGAGGAAGATTTCAAAGAAGTCATCATTGAATTGGGTCTTGAGGAATTTGTAAGACTTCCTGACTGAGTCAAGGTTTAGCAGGTAACAGCACCAGATGATAGTACTGGGGGAATGAACGATTGAATATTCTAGGAAAGGGCCAGTAATAGGACAAAATATTTGGATGTAAGGAGGCAAGAGAGGATTGAAGTCAGATTTTAAAGGAATATGTCATTTCTCCCCCTTTATCATGGGGGTAACAGAAATTTTTCTAATAAAAAAAATAACTTTTTCTTCCAACTTTTCTCCTACTCGCACCCTCTTCCCTTCTGATAACTTCCATTGTATTGCAGTATAGTAACTTGACATTTGTTTCTGAAATGCACTTCTTGCAAAATTCAAAAGTCTTTATTTTTATGACCAGTTTGATTAGAAGGAAATAATCAAAGTGAGTGGCTATGTAGGTGTTTATAAAATAGAATCTATCTTTTTTTTTTTTACTGACAAAAGAAATAGACTCATCCTAAGCAACTGTCACTGTATCACTGTATCACTGTCATCCTGTTGTTCATTGATTTACTCGAGTGGGCGCCAGTAAGGTCTCTATTCCTCCCAGCCCTGAGATTATAGCAGCCTCTCCTTACTTGTCTTTCCCAACAATTGGAGGCTCTTTCAGGGTCAGTGGAATGAGACCTGTTATAGTTACTGGTTTTGGCATATCAAATATGCCACAGGGAGATTGCCAGTCTCTGCCCATGCAGGTGGGATACTCTTGGTAGCTTGCCGGGCTCTCTGAGAGGCATATATATATATGTATATATATAAATATATACATATATATGTATATATTCCTAATGTCTGAACTCCATCAAATATGGTGTGGTAATTGTGGAATGGGTAGGAAGCCCCAAAAACCTCCATCCATCTCGGAAAGCCCGGCAAGCTACCGAGAGTATCCCACCCGCACAGCAGAGCTGACAAGCTACCCGTGGCATACTCGGTATGTCAAAAACAGTAATAATGAATGGTCCTGATTTCCCTGACCCTGAAGGAGCCCCCAATATGTCATCGGGCTACACTTGCACTTGACAGGGACGAATGGAGACATTACTGGGCCCGCTCGAGCGAACTGAAGAACAACGGGGTGATAGTGATAGTGATAGAAAGTGTCTTATGATGTCTGGAAAGTGGCCTGGAGCATGGTGGCAGTTGGGTAGTGGAGGTCAGCTGCTGGGGCGGGGCCTCTTAGGGTGGGGAGGGCTCTTGCCCACCCCTCTCTGGGGAGCCCCGAGTGAAAACAGCCTGGCGAGGAGTCCAGTGGCATGGTTATGGGGGCCTTATTTTATGCTCCCTTTTGGGAGAAGCAGCCGTGAGTTCCAGAGGGTGGTCATGAGGAGATTATCTGGTGCCAGCAGGGTGTGGCCTATGGGTGTGACACCTGGGTCACCAGAAACTGGGGAAAGCAGGCAGAGGATCTCTGCTCCTGGGTCCCACTGAGCCCAGAGTCTAAGGTTACAAAGGTCACAAAGTTCTGCATTATCTGGGTTCCATGGGTTCCATGGGACTTCACTCTGGCATGAGGCTCAGCCAAAGCATCCAGAGAGCGACCTGGAGCATAGCAGTGGTTGGGTAGTGGAGGTTGGATGCTGGGGCTGGGGTCCCTTTGGGGGGGGGGGAGGGCTCTCTCTCGCCCCCCTCTGGGTTGCCCCAAGTAAAAACAGCCTGGCTCGGAGTTTATATAATGTAACATTATAGAAATATACAACATTATAAAAATAAACAACATAGAAACCAAAAGCTCCCTGCCATCTAGACTTTCAGACCCACGTGCTATACTAATATCTGTCTCTGTCTCTGTTCTCCTGTTGTTCATTGATTTGCTCTAGTGGGCCCAGTAACTGTGTGTGGCATATCAAATACATCACGGGTAGCTTGCCAGGCTCTGCCATGCGGGCGAGATACTCTCCGTAGCTTGCCGGGCTCTCCAAGAGGGGCAGAGGAGTCGAATTCAGGACGGCCATGTTGGCTGCATGCAAGGCAAACACCCTACCGCTGTGCTATTGCTCCAGCCCATACTAATATCATCATATAGATTTCTTTAGGTCTTTATTTCCAGAAATGAACCACACATTAATAAAATTTTCTCTGTGCAAAGTAAATATAGTGCTATCTCATTCTTTCTAATGACTGTGTGAGAGGCACCTGTGTTATTATACTATAATGCTCGAGCGGGCCCAGTAATGTCTCCATTGGAGACTTTGTTGTTACTGTGTTTGGCATATCGAATACATCACAGGGAGCTTGCCAGGCTCTGCCGTGCGGGCGAGATACTCTCGGTAGCTTGCCGGGCTCTCCGAGAGGGGTGGAGGAATCGAACTTGGGTCGGCCATGTTGGCTGCATGCAAGGCAAACGCCCTACCACTGTGCTATTGCTCCAGCCCCATACTATAATATACCAAATAAATCTTTTTTTAATGATATTTGAGCTGTTTTAAGTTTTTCATAGACATAGACAATATTAGGAAGAATATTTTACATAAACTTTTGAAAACTTTTGTTACCCTCAGACAATTCTTCAAAATTCTTTAAGGAGCTGGAGAGATAGTTTAGCAGGTAAAGCACTTGCCTTGCATGCCACTAACCCTGGTTCGATCTCTGGCAGTCTATAGAGCTCTCTGAGTCCCACCAGCAGTAATCCCTGATGCAGAGTCGGGAGTAAGCCCTGAGCACTAACCAGTGTGGCCCAAGCAAGCAAACTAACGAGCAAAAAAAGTTGTAAGGAACTGACATAAAGACAGCATTTTTTTCCATCTTAATAGATTTTACCAAATTGCCACCAGAAAGGTTACATCCATTTACATTTCACAGTGAATGCAGACCCAAACTTCCTTCGGTAAGGGAGCGGCCTTCTAGGCACTCCATTCTTATCAGCGAGTTCAAAGATCCTTGAGACCCTTCACTCAGCTCTGCAAATGTCTGTAATTCATATGTCTCTCTGGTTTCTAACCAATTAACATTAATAGCAGCTCTGAGATTTGCCCAAAAGAGCCGACATTTATGCCGGTCCCTGGGCCATTCCAAGCATGCCTTCTTTCCCAGGAGAGCTTTCAGCAGAGGGTACTTGGCGGGAATGCAGTAGCGTGGAATGGGTTCCAGGAGGATAAGCAGTACACAATCAGAACTTTCACGGAGGAGATTGTGACGGGCGAAACAGAGCTCATAATGGCCCCATACACTCTGAATGAAGCTGCTAGACAAAACAAAGATGGATTTATCGCTGTTCTCAATACAATTTATGATGGTGTCAGGAATTCTCTGGTCAGGGTCAAAGTCTCCCTCCTGAAGACAAATCAAGACAGAACCATCTTCTTTCTCTAGTTTGGGGATTAATTCATATTTCACCCAGGCAGAATCATGTTCACTGTATGAAATAAACACATGGAATTGGACATTTCTTGTCTGCTGTTGCCTTATCCTTCTAACCCTGTGATATATCCGTGTCCACTGATACAACATTCTAAAGTACCCCGGCATATCAAAGCGGAGGCAGCAGAGAGTCACAGCTAAGCCCACAACTAGCACAACAGTTGCAATGGTGACCATCAGCAGTGCCGTGTTACAAAGTAATTCCGGGAGGTGAGCATCTTTCAGTCGAGTCCCCTTCAGGCCCAAAGGGTATTCACAGATGTAAGAATCTGGCCATTCAACCAGGATGCTCTCTGAGTCTTTTCCTTGGCGAATGAAGTCTCTTAATTCACAGGTACAGTGGAATGGATTTCTTCCTGCCTTCAGAGTTTTCACCGCCTGGCAGCTACGGAAAAAATCCAGAGAGGGACTGAGCACCGAGTTCATGTCAACATGCAAAACGGAGAGTCCTCTGAAATGACCACATCCAGGGAGATCGGTTAGAAAGTTCAGTGAAAGTTTGAGCTCTTGCAAAGACTTCAGGTGAGCCATCTCTTTAGGGACAGCTTGAATTTTATTATTACTCAGGTCGAGTATTTGAATACTTCTGGGCAAGCACCTGAAAACAGAATCTGCAAGTTTGTTCGACGATAGGTTCATGGTAATCAAAGTTTCCGGCCACAAGCAATCTTCATCTTCTTCATGCAGTAGCAGATTGTGGCTCAGATCTAAGCCTTCCAGGGATGTGTTGTTGGCAAAGTGGCTCACTAATACAAGGGTCTCCAATTTATTGTTATTTAGAATAAGAGTTTTCAAATGAGGCAGCTGGATAGGTTTTTGGAACAGGTCATCTGTGAAAGCATTATTAGCAAAATTTAAATACTGGAATCGTGTAGGGTAATTTGGGAACAGCACGTGTGGTATTTGTGCATCTGAAATCGTCAGATTTTCTATATCCATTTTGGTAAAAAGCAAGTATATTTTACTTTGTGGAACAGAAAAATCTCTGACATTTACATGCTCCAATTTTACACTTCTCACTACGGAAGCTGAGTAGTCAAATGAACTGTGGTCACGAGAGACCTTACCCCCCAAAGTCACATTTTGGATCTGGATGTGTTCCACTGAGGTATGCCAGACAAATTGGAAGATGAGGAAAAGGTCATCCCAAGCTAAATCAAGTTTATTAAGTAACAGGAGCGCTGTTTTGGAAGTCTCAAAATTAAGGTTTTGCTGAATTTCATAACATGCGAGTTGACTTCTGCTGTCTATATTGGTTATTTCTAATATTTTTGAAGTCTTGATTCCATCACGCAGAAGAACCCAGAAATTTGTGTTCCTTGATAAAATAATGTGAAGTTTTGTTGTGTTTAAGACAGTCAGGCTGCCTTCCTCATAGTGAGAAAACACTTTCAGTCCCAACAAGACGGTTTGCAGATGCAGATGGGCAATTTTCTGGAAAGCCGACTTTTGTATTTTAGCCCCACTAAGACCCAGGACCTCCAGATGTAACATGTTGCCCAGTTCCTCACCCACAGGCAGTGTGTCGAAGTCATTGAAAGAAAGATCTAAATGCCGGAGACTTCCCAGGCAGTACCACGTTACAATCTTCAGTTGATTGTGAGACAAATCCAAATAGCTTAATTCCTTGTTGAATTCAAACACCCTGACATCCAGCTGTCGGATTCTGTTATGGCACAGGATCAAGACTTGCAATTGAGACATGGAATGGAAATCAGAACTCTGGAGCTGGACCAGGAGGTTGTGGGATAAGTCCAGAGTGGTTGTGGAGGAGCTCAGGTCTGCAGGAACTGTCTTCAGAAGCATGTGAGAGCAGTTGGTCATCCATTCTTTCTCCTGTGGCAGCTCCCAAGCCCAGCCTGGTGCAGAGAGAACAATGCTGCAAAATACATAAATGCTTCTGCTAGGCTTCATGGTCCTTGCAAGGATTTTAACGCTGGTTCCCTCATGTGAATGAGAAATGTGAAAATAAGAGCCTAGAAAGACAATGTAGGAAGTTAAGGTTCTTTTTAAATTGCTACATTCCATAGGGTTTTTTTTTTTAATGCTAAGATATGATTATCTTCTGAGCTTGATCTGAGGACTTATAGAGTCTCGAATTACTTCTTTTTTTTTTTTTTTTGGCTTTTTGTGTCATACCCGGCGATGCACAGGGGTTACTCCTGGCTCTGCACTCAGGAATTACTCCTGGTGGTGTTCAAGGGGCCATATGGGATGCTGGGAATCGAACCCGGATGGGTCATGTGCAAGGCAAATGCCCTACCCGCCGTATTATAACTCTAGTGCCCAAGTCTTGAGTTACTTCTGCCCTTTCCATGCAAATAGAGACAAGGAAGTCTTCCTAAAAAGGAGAAATACGATAGCTGGGAGAAGTCTCCATGCCAGATCAGAGTGTGGCCTTTGCTAAGTGGTACTCAAGACCAACCTTCTTCCATGCCCCTTTGTTGATCTGAACAGTTAAGAACTAAAGTAGGGCCAGAGACATAGCACAGGGATTAAAGTGCTTGCCTTGCAAGCAGCTAACTCTTTTGATCCCCATCATTGTATAGAGTCCCTTTGAGCACTGCCAGGGGGTAAAATGAGTGTAAAAATCCCTGTAAGGAGCAAAATAGGATTCTTTTCATAAAGACAGAATTAGTAATACTGATTCTTTTTAAGGTTTTGGGCCACACCAGGCAGTTTTTGGTGACTATTTCTGGCGATGTTCAGGGGAACCATCAGCAGCTCCATGGGTCAGATTAGAGTCAGCCACAGGCAAGGCAAACATCTTAACCCCTGTCCTATCTCTCATCTCAGTAGTATTGAATGTTCTTTCTCTCTTAGGTTCCAATATGACTTATAGGCAATGGCAGATAGAGTTAGGAAGCTCGGATCTGTGATTTTGATATTATCATCTCAGAGAAGACTTAAAACAATTTTAAGTTTCTAAGTTTGGACACTATGTCCTTTGAAAACTATAGCAGGATCTAACCACCTTGCCCTAGTTGGTTCTCCTGATCTGGGACACTTAACTTGCATCTTCTTGCTCTCTCTTCTCCCCACCCAATACCACAGTATCATCTGGATCTTATTCTCAAAAAGGAAGCAGAGCTTACTCTTATAGAGCTTCTTTAAATAGAATATAACAGAAAGTCCCTGGCAGTAATGCATATTCTTTTATCTATTTCATTTAAACATTTTTAAAAGTAGGCCATAAACTGCTGATGAAAGACACATTCAGCAAGCAATATAAATTATTATTATAGTTCTCCTACTGCTACTTCTGTACTGAAAGCAGGTGAAAACCAGAGAATAACTTACCTTAATAGCCAATAATTTAATTCTCTAAGCTCAAAGCCGCCATAACAATGACTATGGTGGCTTGCCAAAGAAGCCCTAATCATTGAATTCCTCTTTACCCAAAGAGGCACACGGCAAAGCAAGTATGCCTTTCCATTTTTTGAGCTTGAGCCCCTTGAGCTGGAGTTTTAAAAAAATCCTTGAATACTGAGTGATTTGTTGCTGTTGTTGTTGGGTCTCACCCAGTGATGCTCAGGGATCAGTCCTGGCTCTGCACTCAGGGATCACCTCTGGTTGGGTGCAGGAAGCACCATATGGGATGCTGGGATCAAACCTGGGTTGGCCACATGCAAAGCCCCACCTACAGTACTATCTATCCAGTCCCTGAATGTTGAGTGATTTTCTTAAAGTAAGAGTAAGAATAATACTTCCTGGCTCTTTCCAATATGTCTGACCAGGAAGTGAATGTTTTCTATTGATTGGTTATCCTGTTCAGTCCTCCAGACAGTGAAACAACGGTGGCTATTTTATCCCTGTTTTGTTTTTAATCTCTGTTTACAGCAAGAGGAGCAGTCTAGAGGCTTAATTAGCAGCCAGTGGCAGAAAATCTAAACCCAAACCCACAATCACCTGCAAGACCCGAGATCCAATCAATAACCCAGGGACAGTCACTAATCCTCAGCTTTATTAATACACATATTAATACACATTAATACAGACAAGAGAACAAATACAACCAATCTGAATAAATCTACTTTTTTCCCATCTCCTTGATTTCTTTCAAATTCTCCCTTCTTTGGAAAATATCCCCTCAAAGCCTATTTCTTTTTCAGCAAAGCAAGCTAAGAGTTCTTACCCCAGGCTTGCGTGGGTCCATCAGCGCTGCAGGTGTGGCCCAGTCAGGTTCACAATTGCCTGTAAGAGGGACCAAAACAGAACTTTTCTACAACACTTGAACCTCTTTGCCCTCTACTGCATGCTGGTGGCACTACACCATGAACGCCTGCATTAAATTTTTAGGGCGTTTTTGGCAAGTAAAGTGAGGGTGTGGGGGGCTCCCAAGCAGTGCTCAGAAGCCCAGGGACCTAACTGGCAGTTCTTAGCCACCCAGCTAGTGGTTCAATGCAAGGACCTGAGGATGAAGAGCTGCTGGGGCCCTGAAGTGTTGGGGTTACTCAGGTCACCCAAGTAGTGCTTGGTGGCCCCAGGGCTGTGCCTAGTGATGTCATCAATGCTCAGGGAACCACGTGCTATCACCAGGAACCGAATCCAGGTCAGGCACAGGCTGTAAATAACTGCTGTAATATCTCCTGAGTTTTCTTTCTTTAGATTTTGGGCCACACCCAGCAATGCCAGAGGCTTCCTCTTGAAAAAGAAATGGTAAACATCATCTGTTTTAATGTAGATTTCAGGATACAAAGTAATGACTTCAAAGCAAGGCTTTTGACATTTTTCTTTATACTTAAAAATCAAATGACATGGCTGAATTTTCCCAGTGAAAATAAAAATTCCTAAACAGATTTGTCCACAGGAGAAGTGATCCACTTTACAAAAAATGATTATAATAGTTCTATGTCAATATGACTTTGGGAAGGAGGTATGTTTTTATTTTTTATTTATTTATTTATTTTTTATTATTAGTGAAACACCATGAGGTACAGTTGTAGATTTACAATTTTTTGTGCTTGGGTTTCGATTATACAATGATCAAATACCCATCCCTCCACCAGTGCCCATTTTCCACCACCATGGATAATATCCCTCCCGCCCCCATCCCTCCCATCCCACCCTGCCTCTGTGGCAAGGCAATCCCTTGTGTTCTCTCTCTCCTTTTGGGTGTTGTGATCTGCAAAAGAGGCTTTGAGTGGCAAACATGTTCAGTCCATAGTCTACTTTCGACATGCATCTCCCCTCCTGGGAGGATGGAGGTATGTTTTTAAAGCAAGACTTCGTTAGCATCAATTCCCCCCCAGCAAAATGGAAAGCATGTATGTCTACTTATATTTTAAAGGAAAATTGTACAATAAATATCTGTCCAAAAAAAAAAAAAGCAGCTGCAAAGCAACAACAACAACAACAACAACAAAATGTAGCCTGTTCTGTTGTCCACATAAACATAAGGGAAATTTTCTGCACAACTTCTGGAGAAAAAAATCCCCGGGTCTCTGATGACAGGACTGAGGTTCCCTCAGACGGAATTAAGTCCAGGAAGGAGGCTGTGGACAGTGAAGGAGAGATATTGGCACTACAGAGGCAGGGGTTGTATGGTAACACTCTTCCGTGTGCCCTAAAAGTTATGGACACCTGTAGTCTTATGACTCTATGTTATACTCATCAGAAAGGGACCGGAGCAATAGGACAGTGGGGAGGTGCTTACCTTGCACATGGCCAACCTGTGTTCTATCCCCTGTATCCCATATGGTCCCCAGAACACCACCAGGAGTAATTCCTGAGTGCAAAGCCAGAAGTAACCCTGAGCATTGTTGGGTGTGACCCAAAAAGAAAAAAAAGAAGAAGCAGAAATTAAATTGGAAAAAGAAAGAAGCATGTCAGCCGACACTGCCTCATGAGCACAGGGGCTGGTGCTTGCCCGTGGTAGAGCCGTGTTGCATAGACAAGCAGAGCTCTAAGACCTCTTTCCCTACAGAAATTCTCAAGTGATAATTAGCACACATATATATATGCTAGATTGCTCTCTTTAAATGAAATAGTCACTGGTGGGGGTGGGGGGGCTTTAGATGTCCAAAGATATCTTCTTTCCTTTCTCACAACCTTAACTTTGCACTGTCAAGAATAAAGATGTTTTCTTTATTTGGCATTGAATGTGATTGCCAGAAAGCAGAGAGCCAGCTTAGAAAGCAGGATTCTGGGCATATTCATCCCCACGTGCATGGCAGCTTCCTTCCACCCTACATGCAGGAAGGGTCACATAGATGTTCTAGACTAATTCTCTCCAGCAACTGCATGGAACTTGAGTCTTGTAGTGCATTGTCATTCCAGAAGTACAATTCCTGCTAGACAGATGATAAAACAGACATAGAGAGAACAGGAAACCTGTTCAAGGTCATTATCCACAACAAGACAAAGTCAAGATTCGTAAGTGATTCAGTATGGTTCCATGATCTGCATTTTCCCCATGACTCCACTCCCACCCCTCAGACTTCTAAGCTCATTAAATCTTTATTTGCAGTAAGTAATTAGAACACCATGCTCAAAACCATATGAACTAATACCTTTATCTTTTTTTTTTAAATTTTGTTTGAGGGGAGGCATTTCGGGGGATGGGTGATGCATACCCAGCTGTACTCAGGGAATATTACTGACTACTGACGCTGTGCTCAGAAGTGAACCCTGGCAGAGTTCTGGAATCAAACTGGGGTCTCATGCAGAAAGAGTGCTTTGCTTTCAGTGTTCCCTTTTTGGCTCATGAGCTGATGATAACTTTAATTTGTGATGCTTTTATTTCCTTCAAAAAAATCTTTTCTTGGGAGGATCCTCCCAGGATGGGAGAAGCATGCTGAAAGTAGACTATAGACCAAACATGATTGCCACTCAATGCCTCTTTTGCAAACCACAACACCCAAAAGGAGAGAGAGAACAAAAGGAATTCCCTGCCACAGAGGCAGGGTGGGATGGGGGGAATAGGGGGGAGGGAT